CGAAGGGCGCGGGGCTCCAGGAGTTAAGATGGCGGCGGGGAGGGGGCGACAAAGCAGAGCGCGGGGGAGCGGCGGGGCTGGGCCGCCCTGTGAGGGAAGCTCTAGTTGGCTATGACCGTGTGTTTGCCCAGAAATGGGGCCGGCTCAATGTACACCTAATGCCCGGGGTGTGCTCTGCCTCGTTGCTTTGCTCTCTAGTGATTTTGAGGGGGGAATTACCGTGCGGCCGGGCTGGCTGCACGCCCGCGGGGCGGCTCTCCGGGAGCCGCCCCGGTACCGGGGGGACAGCCCCTGCACCTGGATAACCTGCGCTGTTCCTGTCCGCAGGGACACTGAATGTAGCTTCTGTAAGTGATTATTCCTAACAGGTATGACTCTGCTTGGAGATTTTTTCTAACTAACTCAGTGGAACAAGTTGATGATGAATGCACAGGCTAAATTTAGTGCTGGCATAAGCAGGCACAGATGCACCAACTTCAGTGGAGTTATTCCGGCTGTTGCTGGGAAGGAGTCTGGCCTTTGTGTAGACGTCAAGCTTGCAGGAGAGAGCAGGAGCTCAGCAGAGTGGTCGTAGTGCTTTCACCTCTTGAGCACTTGCAAGTTCATTTATATCACAGCTGAGTGCAAGGGTTCTTCTGAGGAATTTAAAGTACTACACAATTAATAGTGAAGTAAGAATCCCTAAATGCCTGGTAAAGAACTCATAGCCATTTTACAGACAGTGAAACTGGAGCAGAAAGAGGTTCAGTAGCACCTCCCTCAAAAGCAAAAAGTCTCAATGGAACTAAATCCTCTGGAATTTCAAATCCTGGCTGGGTTCCTGCTGTGATTTCTCCCCTGGCTGGTGTGGCCCATCACAATACCCCATAGAGGAGCCAAGAACATAAAAACATAAACACTCTTGAGCTGGACTGATGGCCCTTTTAGCCCTGTCATCTCTCTCTGATTAGCACAGGAGTTAATCTGAATTTCCAAAGTTCAAGCTTGGCATCTCCAGCAGCAGCTGGTTCATGTGGAAGCACAAGCAGTGGCAGTCAGAGACTGCCTGGATGTAACTGAGCAATTTCCCAGTCCACTTCTCCTGCAGGCAGGCTCCTTGCTCTGGGCCAGTGCATGGGGCAGCTTTTCATGTGTTGAAAAACTGATACTAAATATTTGAACCCAATAGCACAGTGGTTTTCTTAAGAAGGTCTTAATATTTAAGATTTATCCTCTATAAATAGATCATCTTCAGTCATCATTAAATTATCTTTAATTGGTATGATTACAACTGCCAAGCATATTACTCTTTAGTAGAGGAGTAAATATAATGAGTATGAATTAATATACAGGCTGCATCATCATAAAAATGCTAAGCACAAACTGCAATTTAAAAAACTTAAATCTGCAATTTAAAAACTTTTTGTCAGGGGGAACTTAAGGAGAAAAGTTTGTGGGGTTTTGAGATGGCAAAGAGATAAGAAAACTGGAATTTAAGTATGTGAAACAGACTGAAATAAATCAATTTTTTTAGCAAGTAGTATGCAAAGTTGCTGCAAATGTTGAACATGTTCCCTGTATTGTGGTGCATGTCTGGGCTTCTTCTTCCCTGAGGATGAGAAAGGAGCCAACAGCTCCAGACAAGGACTGTTCTAAGTAACTGCACTTTGATCCTTTATTCCAGTTTCTCTGATTTGCTGGGGTTTCAATATATCAAAGGTATTTCAATAAATCTTACGTTGTTTTTAAGTTTTTTTGTTTGTTTTTTTTTTTTTCCTAGCCTGGCAGTATCAGATATATGGATGTTTTTGTCTTATCATCAGAAATAAGACAAAATTGGCGATGAGTGGGGGAGGGCTGTTATTTGCCTGAGGCTACCCAGTCTCTCTAAAGTGGCTGCTTTTACAGAGCTCATCTGTGCTTTTGCCTCCCTGTTTCAGGAGAGAAAGTGTAGGAAGTTTTCACTTTCACATAATGGAGTAAATCAGCATCAGAAAACAAGAGAAGATTGAGGTGAAGAGAAAACAAAAACAAAAGCGAGGAAGAAAGCATCAGAAAAAAGAGTGAGCTGTAACAAGAAGCTGCACGCCAGCGTGTGATCGCTGTGACCTGGGCGAAAGAAATGCTCGAAGCTGCATCTCAGTAAAAATTCCCCCACTAGTGGGTGCAGTCGCTGCCCTCGATTTGCGATAAATGCAGCTATTCAGTTCCGTTGAGGCTCCAGAGAGGCGAAACAGCAGATTGTACCCGAAAATGGAGAGACATAACTGAGCCTTCTCCTTTTACACCTTCCCATCCATTCCTTTCACCCCAAAAAAATGCATGTAAAGAAGAATAAAACAGCATGCACCAATCAATCCGGCCATGAGAAAGAGTTCTTGGGCTTAGTCTGGCAGGGAGTGGCTTGTCAGGGGATCGAAGGTATTGCCTTTGGCGATTGATGACTGTTCAGAGAAACAGAACTTTACAGATATTCTCGTTTATTCAAAGCAAACCACAGCCAACAAACAAAACTCTTCAACAGCAAGGGTTTGTTTCAAAGAATTGTCACTGCAGAACCTACTTGTTTCTCCAGCTTCTACAACCAGCAAGACCTAATTCTGTTCCCTAATTGTTCCAGTCCTACGTGTGCACTGCTGAACAGCCCGAGGTGACAGATGTGGTCTGGCTGAGGCCAGGGCACTGAACTCTTTATTGCCTTTGCATTAACCAAAGGATGTAATCTGGAGTTTGAAGTGGCTTTATGACATTTTGTGCTTGTTATTTGAGTACGGACAATATCTGATCAGTTACGTGTTTCTTTTTTGTTAGAAATTAATTATTTTAAAATTCACCAAAACTTGAGGGAAGTGAGGTCCCCACAACTGTCAGTGTTGAGCCCATGCCCATGTATCCCACCAGGTGCTCAATAGCTTGATGAGGGTTCAGGTCCTCATGTGGACTCTGTGTGTTACCCCAAGCTGTGTGAATCCCCCACCTATTTCTTTTCCATTGCCATCTGTAATGGACTCATGCATTTTCTCTAATTTGTGACCTCCATTTCCCTGTCCCCCCTCTCAAATGTCCCTGCAAATGTTGTGCCCTTTTTGCTTTGAAAACCTATTTTTCTATCTTAGCAGAAGATGTCAGCTTGCTTCTGAAGTCCTGTTACACCAAAAGACATGGTACATTATCAAAATAGTCCATCTCCATTAAAATAATGATCTACTATGCTTTGCAGAATTAATTGAGGGTTTGTTATAAATATGGGTGCAGTTTCTTGCCCTGTACAGGTATTGTTCATCCCCTATTCATTCCTTCATGATTAATAATAAGACAAAGATTTTAGTCAAGTGTAACCAGACCAGGAAGGAGCAGGGGGGAAGCTCTGTGGCAGGTGGCAGCAAGTTACCGCCACAGGGGCACAAAGGCACTGCTGGCAGGGTTGGAATGGCAAGCAGAGCTGGCACGGGGCCGAGTGCCATGGATTGTCCAAAGAGGCATCTGTGTAAGGCTCAGGATCCTGAATCCTGGCTGCCATGGTGGTCTGAACTCAGTGGCAGCTGGGAGTCTCTGCCTTGAGCAGGGGATTGCTGCTGTCAACAAGGTGACTGGCAGTGTCTCTCTCCTTTTGGTCTCAGCAGCCTCTAGTTCCTGCTGAGTTCGTAGCAGCACGTCCAGCATCTCATCTCAGAAATAAAACTACAATCTGCTGTGCCACTCCTCAAACGTACCTGACCCTTTGCAGTGCTGACAGCATGAAAGAAAACAGAGATCCCTTAAATTAATCCCATATTCAGTAACCATGCATGACTAAAAATTAGTTATCTGTTCTGTATATCACTTCATCAACTCATATTGTGTCTGTAGTATCTCAAACAGTTGTTGGAATTTTAACTGCTATGTTCAAAGGCAGTGGCTATATTAGAAACCAATGTGGACAGATATTAATCCTCTAAACAGAACTGTGTCTCCTTAGCAAAAGTGTGGTTTCAAAAAATGACATTTAGAAATAAATTGTTACATTCTACTTGGTACCATCAGATTTGTGCTTGTGTAAAGCAAGCAAGCAGAATTCGCAGGATAGTTCTGGGTCACTCCTCAGAAATGTCTGTATTTATTTAATTTCAAGCATGCCACTTTAATTTCTAAAACATTTATATGAACACTGAATGTTCAATAAATACATCTCAGTTTTACTGGGGTATGGATATAGAATTTAAGAGTGGAGAAAAAAATTATGTTCCTACCATGTTAGCTAATGCAGCAGAAAAGACACATTTGCAAGGACTCCTTTTACTGATATAAATTTATCTCCATTTAGAAAGTTTGCATATTGCCAGGTTAGCTAGACCAGCAAAAGCACTTACTGTGAAAGCCACTTCTTAAATGGCAAATATCTCATTTGATTTTTTTTCATCCCAGGTGTAACAGAGATTACAAAGAACCCTGGAACGTACTATACAAGCACAGAGAGATAACTTTACAAACTTATGCACTGCAGAAAGATTATCACCTTCTCAAAAGCACATGGAAGATGAAGGGAAGCAGAGTATCTTGTATAGACAAATTGGATATGTCAGTGTGAGTGTTCTAACTGCTCACAGAAAATGCCAAGTGATTTGTAATGATCACTTTCTTTTTATCGCCTCCCTTTATCTTGTAGCAGAGTGACAGTCTGGTACTGAGAAATAACAGAATGAAACACACCCATACAGCCCGTTTCTGTAACTTCTTTCTTCAGTATATACATAGGGTTCCCAACACGAGTACTGATCCCAGTCCAGCTTGAAAAAAAAAAAGAAAGGGAAAACATGACAAAACAAGACTTAAGCAGCATGAATGTGGCTCTCTCTGGAGAAGTGTAAAAGACAATTGCACCAATTACATGCTGGTTTTGGAACTCCATGTAGCCTAAGCCTATTGAAATATATATTTGTGAGCGGGAGTGGAGGGGAACGAGGATGCTCTGGAATGAGGCCTGGAGCTGGAATGCTGTCGTAAAGGCAGCAGTAGGAGGGCAAGCTATAAACTGGCTGCAATCCTCAAATTTAAAAAAAGGTCCGGAAACATTTAAATGCCAAATTATGTGACACCTTTCATTCCTGTTTTTTCTTTTGTTCTTAGTTTTCCATTTAATTGGCTGAAACTGTTCCTATTTATGCCACCAACTGTGTAAGCTGGGCTGACTAAAGGCATTTTTATTTTTCTTTACTCTAGCCTGACAAACTGCTTATGCAACAGCTTACACCTTTAATAACACCAATAAAACTGCATCAGAACTTAAAACCCCTCCAGATTTCTTAGCATCAAGGCCTGAGAGAACTTGCTGCAGTGCTGGCATGTGACAGGAGGCAATTTATAAGGAATTAACTCTGACAGTCACTTTATACAGCTGATTTTCAAAGATCTAGGCACTAAAGATGTGTTAATGAGGGTACTGAGGCTTCATAATTAATTATATTAGCATCTCTTTGTTACTCTCTACAACAGTAGTGGCTGGTTGACATTTCAATGGGAGTCTGGTGGTATTCTTTGTGATTATTATCCAGGAGTACAGTTTTACCTTAACTCCCAGAGGGAAACGTTGCATGTAAATGCTGCTGTGAATTGCAGGGGCCTTTGGAGCTCAGTAAAAGCCCTTGAAGGAGACCCCGCTGGAAACTGAATGGATGTCAGTAAAATTTCTCTAGTCTGGAGTCTCTCTTCAGATATGGACTCTCCTCCCCCTTCCTCTCCCTCCTCCCTTCCTTCCAGTGAGCTGGTCCTTCTCACAAGGCTTAAGAACAGCAAAATCCAGCCCTTGCTGAATGTCGAGTTCCAGACCCCTAAAGGAAGGAATACTGACCCGAACGAAGCAGTGAACAAAATAAACCTGAAAATAAAGAATATTTTCATAGGCTGGAATTTTCAGTGCAATAAAACCAGAGCTGCCAGAAGGAGTCCCAGAAGTGGTGAGTCAGATAATAGATGTACGGCTGTGGTGGGAGGGAAATGGTCTCTACTTTGTTTTACACCACTCCACCCCCCCCTTTACAAAGGCAGATGAAATTATTTTCCAGTCGTACTGCTGCAAAAACAAACATGGAGTTTAAAGGTTATTTCCTTTGTGTGTTTCTGAGAGACATTAGTTTTGACTCCAAAGGGGAAAGGAAGCTGTTTTGTCAATGACCTCAATTTCTACTCTGAAAGTTTTTACAGTATCACCTGAGGTGGCAGAGCTGCTCTTTTGTTTACTGATATATTCCACTTGTTTGTGTTAATTTTAAAAAAGTTACAAAAACAAACTGCTGTTTTTTCACACCAGTTGTATTTAGAACCTTGTCATGGTTGGGCTCAGTTAAGGGCACCGTTTGACAAACACCTCTGCTAAGTGAAACTCGTGCAATGCGTTCCTCACTCTTTCATTCCCGTCTTCATGGGACTCTCTTACATTGTTCCTGCATCTGCACCAGGGAACCAGATCAGAGTACTAGCCTGAGTTTAAAAAAAAGGGGTTGTGGGGACTATTTCTAATTGAAATCAGATTCAGATTCAATTTAACACACACACACAAAAAAAAATCACTGGCACAATGCAGGAACAGTGTAAAGGGGAAGAGGGGAGGAATGCGTGGTGGGGAATGCGTAAATAGGAACTTTTACCAAAAAACAGTTTGTCAAACTATGTCCTGAAAGACTTCACATTCTTCCAAGCCAGAGCCACTCTGTTGTTTGTGCAGGTAGAAACTCAAATGCAGGGATTACAGTTGCAGGACTCTCAGAGCTATTGTAATACCAAAAAATAATAACTTCCTACAGACTGACACAATTAACCAAATTCCACTCACAGATCATTGTTGGCAACTTGTGCAGGATTTTATGTAGCTGAAGTTGGAGACCAGTTCTATTCCTGAGTTCCATCTCTGGCTCTAATGAGCAATAACTCCGAATAACTCTGGCATTCAGTTGACCTACCAATAAAAGAATTACTTTCCTCACAGAGCATTTTACATTTAACCAGATTTTTGAAATGAGCTTTGACATTCTCAGATGAAAAGAATAATGTGCACAATGTACTATTATAGCAAAAACTGTGTATGACAGATTCCTACATGTTTTCCTGTCTTTTGTCTCACCTTTCCTGTCACCATACTCCTACACAGGACTCAATACACACTGTAAATTTTTGAGTAATGCCAACTTCAGACTAATGAATTGTAATTAATGTACCCATTCTTTGCTGAGCAATGTTGTGTATGTTTATTTTTATCTGATACTTTTTGGATAGAGACAGAGGTTACTCCCCCTGAGAGTTCAAATATCAATAGTGGTCTAACCAGGGAAGTTTTTAATGATTCCCACAAAAACTGCTGCCACTTGGTAACAAGACAATGGATGAAATATGCACAGTGTAAAATTTTTGCCTCTAGTGCTATTCCCAAAGGACCAAATCTAGAAGTGATAGTCAACTTTGCCTAGGATTCAGCAAGTTTTCCTGCTGTAGGACTGAGGAGAAGATAAATAAGAGTTTTAAGAATTGGCCAGAGTTAAAATCCTGGAAAGCAAACATTCATAAATTGACTGTAGAAATTTTGTTTCTCTTTGTTTCACTATGAGTGGTGAAGATGGAGAGGATGTTCTGTGTATCTCCTAGCAGAAGCACAAGGTACAGTTTTATCTAGTCCTCAACATGTCTGAAAAGCTTATGCATTTTGTTCAAAAGTGTCTAAGGTTTTGTTGTCTTTCAATTTAATATTTTAAAGAGTAATTTGACTGCCTCTTTGCGTCTAGTATCTGGGAACAAGCACAGGCGTTATGTGACCATACATCTCTTCATGGATTACAAGCAGGTGCTCTGGTAAGTTAAAGATGTTGGTGTAGAATAAAATAAAAGTCAGGTTTAGCAATAATTTCATAATGGAAATTTCATAAAAAATAAAAATAACAACTAATACAAATAGGATCACTGGATTTATTCAGTGACATATTGTTAGTCACTGCCTGTTGTCTGTGTTACTGAACTGCTGTCCTGCTTCAAGGCAATTACCAGCCCTGAAATATTTTCATCTGAAGGTTTAAACTGCAACAACTTTGAGGACATGTGGAAGATTCTTCTGTCATTATCTCACCCTTCAGTTCTAACATGAATGCTTGACTGGGAAGGTCTGTGACTAGTGGAGATGAATAAACAGTTGGAGCTGGTATTTGACTGGTTAATGTGTGTGCCAAACTGTGTGTGTAGTGCCGAGGAGGCTCAGCAGTTCCTGGGGGCTGTCAGACTGATCACACACAGCAAACCAGCCCTGTGTCTCTGCCTGTGGCTCCCAGCAAGCCCTGATGTGCCAGTCAGGCTTTGCTATCAGGTACAAGCTTGTGTATTCTTGAAATGTGCCTTCAACTCACAGGTGTACTCAGTAACTTGAAAGCTTTCATATACTCTAAAAATTTATCTTGCACTTTAAGGTGGAATCTTTGTTCTCACTATAGAGCCCAAGCCTGCAAGTTCTTTGTGGAAAACCAGGCTCTCAGCATAGATGCACAATTGTTAAGCAGTTGGTTGCATTTCAGCAATGGTAAAATGATCCTTGATTTATATTTTGCTACTATAATTTACAATTCTTTGGGATGGAAGGCTGTGAAACCATGAGTTGCTATTAATTACACTGACTTACTTGCATGATCATATATATATATATATATATATATGCCCATTTTGCCTTGCAGAAATACTTAGGGGAAGATGTATTCTTTTTTTCACACATCACTGCATTATATTAGAGAGGATTTTAGCACATTTTCTGATTTCATCTGCCAGATTGGGGGTTCAAGTTTAAAACTTACAGCTGACTTGACATTCCAGAAAAAATAAGCATGATTACCAGTTATGTCTCTGTCTTGTAGTAACATATCTAACTAAGGAAAGAAACACTTGAGATCTGAACTTTAAATTCAAGGAGCAGATATGAGATTTCCTTTACAAAGAAAGAAAATTGACTGTTTAGTCAATTCTTGAAGAAAATGTGCAGTTATAACTGTACATTTAAACCCTCAGCAGTTATTCAAGGACTAAAACTGCTTTAGAGGTTAGTTACAGGTCATGAAAACATTAGAAAGATTTGAAGAGAGATAACTGAATATTAATCAATAAACATTTTTTGGGGGTTCTTTTGTTACTGTCTCAGGGATATTAAACTAATTTAATATTTACACATTGTATTATTTAAAATATTTATATATAATCAATATACCCTTTTATGTTGATAATAGTTTTATGGTAGTCAAAACAGATATTGGATTTTTAAAATTATTTTTAAAGTACAGCAGTTAAAATTCATGATTACTTAGTTTTAGATACATCAGTGTATCAGCATAATTGTGTACATCAGGAATACCTGGTAATTTATAGACTAAACAAGAGGTTCTAGTAGGGAACTGACAGGTGCCACTTCTACCTGCTTGAAACTAGTTTTCAAACTTGCCATCTTTATTTCAAATTGTAGACTTTCAAAGACTAATCTAGAGAAAGACAATATAGTAAATTACAGGTGAGAAAAGAGGAAAAAAACCCAAGCAGATACAACTACATAATCAAGACACCCAAATGAAACAGAAGGAAGAAAACCAAGCTCCACACATGAATTTACCTTGTCTGAAATGGAAGATTATCCATATTAATCAATCTTGGGAGATGCAGACAGAATAAGGAAAGAGTCGTCTCACTATGATGGGCTTCAGAAGGGCCTTGAGACATCCCTCTCCTTGGGAAGGATTTCATAATCTTGCAGTCATAAAGTTGTGGTGCTTTACTCACCTTTTATGCCCAGCGGTTACAATTGCTGTAGGTGAAACCAGAGTAAGGGATGGAAGCTCCTCTCTCCTGCTGCTTGCACAGGGAAGCACAATACAAACCTTGCTCATGTGGCAGCCCTTGTGGGTGGCAGTGGAAGCGAGGACATAGCTGGTGGGAAGTGACAGCTGGGAATACAAAAGGAAAAACAATGGGGATTTGGAAACAACAGGTGGAAGCAGGATTCAGAAAAGTATAGCCAAGATTTCTGAAGAGGCAGGACTAATCCAGGCCTCATTGAGTAGGTCCACTAGAAGAGCAACATGAAGAGGCAAAACAGGAATTGAGCAGGAAGGCTGTGCTAATGTTGTATGATTGGGGAAGCAAATACAGACAGCAAATTCCTACTCCATCAAAACCGTACTTGTTTCTTAACCTGATCTGTATCCTGACACTCAGCTGTGAATGATGTGCTGCTGCTTTTGTTAGAAGAGAGTGACTCGGCTATTCCTTTAAGAGCAAACACGGGCGAGTTGTAGCTGTGGAGCTGCACTGAGCTCTTCCATGACAGGTGGACAGGAAAGGGACAAAAAGGGTTATTTAAAGTCTGCCTGCTCTCAGTGCAGTGGCAGGTGTGCTGGCAGGCAGCTCTGTGACCTTCTGGAGTCGAGCTCCCCAGTAACTGAGCTGGATGTGACTGACAGGGCTCTGTGCCCTCAACACAGCATGTCCCAAGTTATTTATATGGGTTGTTTAGTCTCGAGGAGCCTCAGGGGGCACCTCATTGCTCTCCACAACCACCTGAAACGAGGTGAGGGCCGGTCTCTTCTGCCTTGCCTGCAGTGAGAGGACAAGAGGAATTTGCCTTAAGCTGAGAGATTCTGGTAAGATACTTGAGAGAGATTTTTCCCTGCTAAGGTGGCCATGCATTGGAATGGGTGGAGCCACCATCCCTGGAGGTGTTCAAGAGGTGTCTGGATCTGGCATTGGTTGATGTGCTTTGATGGTTTGGGGGCTTACAGTGGCAGTACTGGGTGAGCATTGGACATGATATTCTTAAAGGTCTCTTCCAACCTTGATTATTCCATAATTGCTTTGTGCCATGTCCCAGGTAAGGTGGGTAGCACAGGGAGACGAGGACGCCACATCCCCAGACTACTGCAGGCTGGAAACGCGACCTCATACCCGGCAGGGAAGCGCTGAGCCTAGTCCCAGGGGAACGCCTCAGGCAGCGGCACCGCAGCCTTCTGAGAACCGTTTGGGTAGCGGGGGTCCCGAAATCCATCCCTGCCCCGCGATGTCACCCGGTCGGGGGACATGACGGGCCCCATCCCGGCCGCACCGAGGGGTCGCTGTCCCCACGGGCCGTGAGGGGACGGGGCGGTCGGGGACGGGACTCACGGGGCCTCGCGCGCGCCGCCATAGCGAGGCCGCGCGGGCACGTGCAGCCCGCGCATGCGCGGCCCCTTCTCC